TCTTACATGAAGAAACCTTACTTACGGTAAACACGTGGTTGCAGAGAAATGCGTTCTGAAAGAGGTTCCGTGGTTCGGAAGGATGGTGTTCTGTTGTTCTTAAAGGTTCTGAACAATACTGGTAAATAGGGAAGCTAGATAATGGGGCAGATGTTGAAAATAATAAAAGATCCAGGAAGAAAAGTGAAACGGATTTTATTCTAAATGGCGCAAATGAGAAATTTTTTCAAAATGCGAGAAATTTGCGAATTTTGAAATTGGTTTATAGAATGTGCGAATTTCTCGCGGTAATAATTTTTTAATGCGAGAAAATAAACAAATATGCGAGATTCTCGCGCTGTAGTGAAAACACTGCCTAAGGGTGCACAACCTTATTGAGGGAAGGGCTACTTGTACGACAGACTGGCCAATAATAGATTGCACTTCAAGTATTAGGACATGTTGACTGCAATTATGGTAATTTTTTTATTGTTTCAGATACTAAATTCTTTTTATCAGACAACTTAGTACAGTGCAGAACCCGTTATCCGGAAATCAGAAAACCGGAAAACCAAAAAACCGGAACGAAATTCGATAAATTTTCCCGCAATTTGTAAAAAAAAATTTTTCTTCCTCATAGGATTTTTCTTTCTTTTTTGAAAGATGTTTACCTTACCATCATTTCAGAAATAATCATTAGTGTATTACCTCATCGTTTTTTCTTATTTTTAAGATTATTTCTAAATATTTTTTTTTTTTAGTTGGGTTTAACACTAAAAAAACGGCTTTTTGTAGCGATTCAGAAAACCGGAAAAATCAGTTATCCGGAATAGCGATAGTCCCGATCGTTCCGGATAATAGGTTCTCTACTGTAATATATTTACAAAAAATATTACATGTTTTTTAAATATTAAAATTTATTTGAATCCAAAGAATAGAATACTGTGCTAAAACTTTTTTAAAAAATATTTCTTTGAATCAAAAAGTAGATTTGTTGAAAAAAATTAACAGTTTTCATTTTATTACGTACTGCAAATTTTTATTTAAAGAATCAATAAACTGTAATCTTCATAGAATAGAAGTAAATAAATAAAAAAATTTCAGTAATGTAAATTAAATATTTCGATTAAAAAAAAATTCCATGTTGTCTAAAATGATTTTAAATAAAACTAACATTATAGCTCAAAATAAGGTAGGTACATATTTTTAATTTTAGGTCATATACCTATATATTAGGTCATATACCTATATATATATTAGGTCATATACTGGTCTGAGGTAACCAGTGTTGGCCTATACATATTTTGTCTTCCACTTTTAGTCCGTCTTGGCAAAAACTTGTTAGTTCACTTTACTTTCTATTAAGCTGATCACCCCAATAACCAATAAATATCGAAAATAATTATTTCTTTATTTTTTCTTTTTAAACAATAACGAGCACAAAGATTAAATTTACATATTTAAAATACGATGCATATTAAAAAATAATACAAATTAAAAATATCAGAATTTTTACAACCAAGAAGAAAACTGCTGTAATAGCAAAGTTATGGATAAAAAAAATCCCTTAGATTTATGCTGGAATCAGTGCAATTAAAGTGCTCATTTTGATGTGAGATTTGAGTGTCATTATAATATTGAAAACATGAGGATTTAAAATGCCGAGCAATAACTGTCAAAAAAAAGTTGGAAAAAAAAAAGAATTGGAATAAAAGTGCACTAAAGAATAATTTTGGTTTTGAAATTTGCCTATGAGAAAAATATATTAAAAATTTTAAAACTGGAAATCCATAGGAATAATCGGCGATAAACTACACAGATAGAATCGGCGCAATTTGAGAGCATTTTAAAGTGATGGCTCGATTGTTCAATTCAAAATTTTCTTTTCAAGAATTAGGAAAGAATTAGGATATTTTTTCTAATATTCAAGTGGTGTTTGACATGCCTATCAATCACACTAGTTGTAACTATCTTTTAAAACAGGTACTTCCTTTAAATTTTATTATTAATTTCACGTTTTTAAATTGTGTTTTGTTTTTCTTTCTTTTTGTAAAACTGAAATTTCTGAACATAAGTTATGTTCCATTTCAGAGCAGTTGGTCTTACTGTCAAGACATTCAAATGCTAAACTAAACTTCTCAGTATGCTATGTGTATCCACGTTTGTTTTTTGTCATGTCTATCACGGCATATTTTATTAATTAAAATATTTTTCCCTGAATCAAATGTTTCTCATTGTTTTTATTCCAGAGCTTTATAAGTTGCTACACAGCAAATTTGTGAAGGTATCTTATTATTTAGTAGCTGAAATTGGGCAGAAATATTTTATCTGATGATGTATGTTACCATTGAATTGACCTGTTACTTCTGAGCTTTTTATTTTTAAATTGAAAAAAAAAATTTTTTTTGTTGAATTACGAAGAAAAATGTCTACCTTTCAGTGTTTTCATCACAGAAAAAAAATAGGTGAGAATTTCTCACCCTTTCTCAAAAACAGTGTGAGATTTCAAAAAGTTAAGTGAGATTTCTAAAAATTAAAAAAAAAAAAAAACAAAAACAAATCAGGAAGATACTTGGAAAAAACCATTTCTTTAATTATAATGCATTTTTAACATCTTCTAATTTTTAAAGCATAGAATATTTTTGCTGCATCATCATATGGAAAATGTTCTACATCTACTTTTTCATCAGCTATTCTCATTAGGTTGCTCAAATGTGTATTTGTTTCGTTTTGATCGTTTCTAGCCACATTTGTTTCATTTTCATTTGTCCGTTTCGGAGTAGAAGATATTGCCTTTTACAAGGTATTTGTCCATTTTATCTTACATTAATGCGCGAAAAATTTGAACGTCTTACATGAAAAAACTTTACCTACGGTAAGCAGAGAAATGAGTTCTGAAAGAGGTTCCGTGGTTCGGAGGGATGGTGTTCTGTTGTCCTTAAAGGTTCTGAGCAATACTGGTAAATAGGGAAGCTTAGATAATGGGGCAGATGTTGAAAATAATGAAAGATCCAGGAAGAAAAGTGAAACGAATTTTATCTAAATGGCACAATGAGAAATATTTTTCACAATGCGAAAAATTCGCAAATTTTGAAATTGGTTTATAAAATGCGCAAATTTCTCGCGGTAATCATTTTTTAATGCGAGAAAAGAATAAAATATTCGAGATTCTCGCGTTTTCACCTTGTAGTGAAACCACTGCCTTTTAAATGTAATCAAGAAAACCTTGATAAATTTTAAAAGTTTTATAGAATGATAAATTTAAAATATGGTTATTCTTACCTGAAAAGGATATGAGACATTTACAAATTGTTGCATTTATAATTTTTATCGTTAAATTACTATAGAATTCATTATTCTTATTTTGTTAGTGAAAGATACTACAGATCAATGTTTAGCACCTATTAATGAAGCTAAAGCGAGGTTTAGGAATTTTGCTTTATCTCTTCAAATCTTACGTAACCGTTGTGGTGCAGTAAGTATATTTTTCAAGTTTAAATATTTTTATTGATTTTGGAAAATTATATTCATTGACGATAACTTTTCTCTGCTTCGAAGTCATCTAAAAAAAAAACATTTTAATTTTATTTTGTTCTCTGAAAGAACATTTTGTATCGTTTTGTGCTTTATTAAGAATTTTTTATTTTACTTTGGAACTTTAATTATTTTTCTTTGTCAAATTCCCTTAAATGAACTTAAAAATTTTGCTCATTAATAGAAAATTATTTTGACATTTTAAAATAATATCAGAAAAATAAATTTTTTTTCTAGAAAAGCTGTAGTTTTTTATTTTTTTTAATACACGGAAAGAATATTATTTAAAAAATTTGCTTTTTTTTTATATATATATTTTGCCATTTCTTGTGTCAAATTTCATTAAAAAAATTCATTATTTGTAAAATAAAAATATATTGTGTTTCTTCACAATGGCAAAAAACAATAATAATAAATAAATAAATAAAGTTCAAGTGTAATTTGACAAAGTTCTTTGACGAATTCCATTAAAAATAAAAAATATTAATAACTGATGAAAGTAGTCCGTTACATCATAATGCCCTAAGAATGAAGTTCAAATATATTTTTACTGCACTTTAAAATTCTATGTAATAAAAACACACACATTTTTTTTGACATTTTAATGTAATATCATGAAGCCCCCCCCCCCTTTTTTTTGTAAAGGCTGCAGTTTTTTTTAGTTCATTGAAAAAGTATTTTGTATGGTTTTGTAATATTATTTCGTCCCCTTTTGACTTATTGCTGCGAGCCACTCGTTGTGGCGGGGGGGGGGGGGGGNAGTTCAAAATTAGTCCCTGCGTATCATTACTGGGGGGGGGGTTAAAGACTACTCCGATTGATGCTATGCTTTTGGCGACTGATATTAGGCCATTGCAATTTGTAGTTCAGGAGAAAGCTATAGTTCTCTGGGAAAAGATCATCAGAGTCCCTGGTTGCTTTTCACTTTAGAATNGGTAAAGACTACTCCGATTGATGCTATGCTTTTGGCGACTGATATTAGGCCGTTGCAATTTGCAGTTCAGGAGAAAGCTATAGTTCTCTGGGAAAAGATCATCAGAGTCCCTGGTTGCTTTTCACTTTAGAATACCGGGACCTAAATAGAAATTTAAAGACTCAAAGGGGCTTTCTTCAGGGAGTTTTACACTTGAAAAATACTCTCGGAATAAATTATGATCCTGAATATCTTGTCCCAACCCAAAATCCAATAAATTTGAAACATTTCCAAATTAATTTGAATTTATGTCAAAGTGAAGATAAGTCTTGCCTTATGAAGTATTGAGCTCTTACTACCCTGAGCCAGAGTGGCTTCGGATCTACACCGACGGATCCCTCCTACCAGACAGTCCTAATGCTGGTGCCGGAGTTTTCTCTGAGGCTTTTTCCTTTTATGCCCCTGTGAGACAGGGATCTGCTTTTGATGGAGAGATAGCTGCAATCCGGATAGCTCTAGTCCAGTTACAATGTCATATTGATATTTTTAAAGAAGCTGTTGTCCTATGTGACTCAAGAGCTGCTTTGCTTGCCATTGCAGTCTTAAATAATCCCTTAACTCGAGACATTTTGAATTGCCGCCTCCAACTTGAATACGCAGCATCCCTTAAGAAAACCATTGTTCTCCAGTGGGTTCCTGCCCATTACGGGTAATGGAAATGCAGATTACTTAGCAAAAAAGGGGGCCTTAATTATTTAGACTTCTGCACACATTGTGCCCTTCTGTTCCATCAAACAGCTTATTAAGAGGACCTTTAAGACCTGTGCTCATGAAGAACTTATCGACTGTACTTCTACTAAGTCTTGAAGGGCTACCATCCTAAATTTTCTAAATGGCCCAAGACTAAGAGCTGTGGCTGAATTCCACTTGGCCACCGGTCATGACTGTCTGCGGAAACATCTGTCTAGATTTGGTATCATTCCTTCCCCGGTATGCACTCTTTGCGGTTCTGGTGAGGACATGAACTCCGCGCACCTTCTACGCTGCTCTGCACTTTGTAAGAATTCTATCACTGAATGCTATTGGGAAGCTAGAGACATGTGATTAATAGACTTTGTTGCAGCACCTCTTGTTTCTGTTCCTAATTTTATTCAATGTTTATGTATGCTGTTACTGTCTGTAATCTGCCATTGGAAATAAAAAAAAAAAATTAATTACTTTAATCTATGTTTTAGAAAAAAGAGCCTAAATTCTTCTCAGAATTTAATCGCACATATAGGAAGTTGAAAGAGATGAAACGCAAAAACAAATTTAAAAAAGTTGCAGTTCGTGATTCAGTGATGCATCTTGCTATGGATTTTTCTGAAAAGGATAGACTTCCTGCCCCTGTAAGTAATTTCCTCAAAAAAATTTATTTTTTTTAGTTTATGATATTTCCTTGAGCTATTAATTTATTTATTGACAAAGTGTAAGTAATATATAATTTTTTTAGGGATAAGGTTATAATAACATAGCTACCAACTCTATTGGATTTACCAGTAGACTGCCAGTTTCTACTGGTTTGATAAAAATTCTCCTGGTTTTTGTACATTTTCCAAAATTCCCTAAATTGAGTAAGTTTCCTAAAAAAAAATCCCTATTGAAATAGAGTTTATTGCTTACTTGAATATTTAAATAAGTATTCCTAATACATAATAATGTGAACCTCATTGTTAGCAACGAAAAGCTTTTTTTTAAATCTAAAATTTTCAGTTCATATGTATTCAGAACTCCTTTTTTAAAACATTTGACTTTTTTTAAAAATTGCTTGTTTGGTTACTATTAAAAATGAGTTAACATAATAAAAGACGTTTCTAGTTCATTTAATATCAATCATAAATGAGAAATATTGTAGACCATTTATATAATTATTGGAGTAATGAAGTTTTTGTGTTCTGATGACAATTTAGAGGATTTCAAGGTGTAAATTTATTTCCTCTAATCACTAATTAATGAGGACTCCAATATGTGGTGAGAACAAGGATGACGATTTAAAACTTAATATAAATTTATTAAAACGTAACAAGTAACAAGTGTAACAAGTTTGTGTGCGACCGCTCGCTGAGGGGATACTCACTGGAATGGTCTGGATATCCTTAATCCCGGCCTCTCAGGGTAGGCTGAAGAGGCACAATTTGGGGGTTTGGTCTAAAAATAGATTTCCCAGAAGGGAATCGCTACAGAGTATCCCCCCAGTGACTTTGTCACGATACAAGAAATTTGCATATCTACAATTTATATGCTATATATAACATGTTTTGAGTTTTATGACATTTTGATAATGGAAATACATGTATAAATATATACAAATGAAATATAAAAGAATAAGATAAATGCATAAATGTTTTCATAAAAATTCTTGAAAAAATTNCAATGTATTTGTACGAGCCTTTTTTACCTTTCTTTCAATATAGTAATAATAATATAGTAAAAGTATTAGGCCAACAAATAAATAGGTGGATAAAACGGGATATAAAAAAACTCTATCCCGTTTTATCCAACTCATAAGTATCCCGTTTTGTCAGACTCAGACACTTTTCAAAGCGAACATGGCTGCTGCCTAAACGTGAAAGAAAAATTAGATTGACTAGACATGAGAATACTCTTTAATAAATGCTTCATTAAATGTAATACTCACCGGAATTGTAATCCTATATATATAGGCAGTACAATGTGAAAAACAACACACGTAACTGTGGAAAGTGGCAAAAAAATGGAGTAAAAAAGTTCCGAGATCTACAACTTTCTATCAATTAGTGATCTCGAGACGGTACGCACTGAAAATGATATAATCACAGTCAAATAAGAAGTTTCTGTCGTCGTCCGCTATATAGCTGCAATAGTCTAGTCCCTAGGCGAGATATCCCGTTTTGTCCGACTATCCCGTTTTATCCAACTCTCCCCTACTAGTTATTTCTAAAATGTAATTTAGTTACTTATATCTATTTATAAATTACCTGAACAATTAGGCTTTTTCTTGCATCATTAACACGTTTGTTGTTGCTTGTATATTTGTGCTGAAAAACTTTCTTTTTTTTCAATAGTTTCAGTGTGTCTTCCTGCATATTTGCATATAACCTGCATATTTGTTGAAAAACTGTTAAGGTTATTAAAAGTGGTGAATAAAATCTCATTTTCTTCGACACAGAGAAGATCTTAACTTAACTGGGAAGAATAAACTAAACTTAATTTTTATATTTTAAAAATTTTGTAAATCTCCCTGATTTTCTTTTATTTTTTTCTTTAACTCTGCATACTTTATAGAGTTGGCGTGCTTTGATAAAAAGTTCTGTTTTAGCATTTTACATTTGGTTTAGGAATTTTGATTAAAGAAATTTTCATCTTTTTAAAAATAATTCAATAAATTATTCCTTATTATTTCAATTCATACCTTTTAGTTGATATTCTACTGTTGATTCTGTTTTATGAGATAGATGTGTTGTACTTAATTTTAATTTTTATTTATTGTTTTAAATTCATTGTGATATTACTATCTTTTATTTTAGGATGTTAATGTATCATACATTGGTGGATCTTTGGCTACTTCAAGTTTGGAAGATGGTCATCATGTTTTGCTTCATCCAAGAGGAGAGAAGCTTAACAGGCTTGGTTAAATTTTTTTCATATATATGTAACATAAAAAGCTTTAATTAATCTTGTTTATGTTATTCCTTTTCTGTAAATCCTTTACTTAATTTATTATTCAAAACGAAACACTCTCTCACACTTTTAAGCTCACATCCTGTCCTTTAATCTATTTTTAGCTCAAGTATGCATTAATTAAAAGTGAGACATTTTCCCCTTTGCTCTTTGTGGGAATCGCGCAAGCTGTTTGATAAACCAATTACAATTGCGAAGATTTCAATTATTCCCTAAAATGAAACATTTTATGAGTTTACTAACTTATATTGAAGAGCACAACATTTTGTGACCACTTTGATAAATGTTTTCAGGGTTGCCACAGGCGACTAAAATGCAACTATTTATATATATATATATATTATATAAACATTTATATGAAAATTATCATATCTGCCACCAACTTGACTGAATGGATGATGGTATATGACAATTAAGTCATTAACAAAATATTTATGTTAATGACTATTTTCATGCTTTAGGCTACTAAGAGCAACTATTTTGTTCATTTTTTTCTGTGGCAACCCTGCGTTTTCTGTCTAATAAATAAATGTTGTACCCTTCTACCCTGCCTAAGACCGATTTTAATCCTTCCACTCTGCAACGCCATTATATATATTCACAGTTTTTTAATTTAGAGTAATATGATTATCCACACTTTTTCCAAAGGTGTATTTTTACGCTAGTTTTTATATTTTCGTTCTTTAAAAGCTCTTAAGGGAGCTTTTTTCCTTGGGTGTTCTTAAAAAGTGCTTAATTTTCCCTTTTCTAAAATAAGATGTTTTTTCTTTACCATGTCGATTTTTGCTACAAATTATGCAAAAAGCTTGGGTTTCACATTGATTTTCGAATTGATTTTCGAACATAATGGATTTTGACGTACCGTTGGACCACCACTCATTTTTCATCTTTGTTGAAATACTTCTTGAGCCACATGTGTGTGTACTGAGCTGGATTCAGTGGGAAGGATTCTTGCACTCTCATGTGCAACTCTGATGCATTTTGCAAGACATTCTCAATTTCTGACTTCCTTTTTTGCTCTCTGAAATCAAACCAAAAAATCTCTTGAGTTTTTGCTAATCACAGGGACCAACTAAACATAGCCTATTATTTTCCCTAATAGCAAAAAAAAAAAAAATTATTCATTTCTCTTGTTAATTTCATCGGTAAACTATCATTCGGTATGATCAATAATATTAATCTTGTTAATGTTTTATTGAATATGCTTTTATAAATAACTTTTATTTAAATCTGAAAAATAGGTTCAATAGCCTCTTTAAATAATAGTTGAATTAATTATAAATTTGAATTAAATGTTTTTACATTATTAAGTAAATTAATTTAAAAAATAGAATGAGCCACTCAATATTGAATGTATCTAAAAGTGTGCATAAATTGTTTTTATGGTGGCTAATATAATCAAGAAAAGAGTTCTTTGTCCGAAACTAGTCATTTTATCATGATGATGTAAATTCTTTGAAAATTATTTTTCATTTTGTTAATATATATATGAAGAAATTTCAACAATGGGAAGAAAAAGCTTTTTGTTAGTGCACATGATTATAATATTTTTTTAAAATACTTAAACATATATTTTGAGTGCTTAAAATGTGCTGTATTATTATTTTTTTATGTAGGTTGAACTGTTCTTTATTTCTCTAAGTTTTCGATCAATTAAAACTAGTATTTATCCTAATATAGCTCATGCATTTGCACAGTGACTTTGTGTTTCCTCTTTATATATTGTGTATAATATATGCAGGGAAAACACAGGGATTTTTTTCTCTCCAGATTTAAGTGGCAAACCTGTTAAATCCAACCCAAATATTGCAGTTTGTAAAAGTTTGCAAATTGTGAAGTTAGTAAATTTTAAATGTTTTATATTTTTTAAAGTAAAGAAATTTAATATTATTTGTCATCTTTGTCCTAAATTTTATTTATTTGTAATAAAGATTACTTTCCAGGTATTACCACATTAGATGAAGCTGATGTACTTAATAAGCATTTCCAGGCTGTTTCCTTAGAAGAAAATTCTCCTAAGCTTCATCATGGTTATATATTACAAATTTCATGTTCTGTTGATGGTAAAATAATTTTATATTCTCATTACTTAAACTATCTATTGCCGATTATTCTGTGACTAAATACTAGTTCCATTAATGCAACTTGCGAAGATTTTATCTCTTAAAATTAAGTAAATTAAATATTTCCACAATGTGTCAGAGACTGTTGTTTAATATAGTTTTTTTTCACCCATAAAAAATCCAAAATAATTCGAACAGTAAAGCGATTCTTTTTTTAAGGAAAGCTAATAATTTCTCACTTGTAAGATCTAAATAATAATTTATAAGTCCCCATTTCCAGTAAAATTGAACAAAAATTTTTCCAATTGTAATCTTATTTAAGATTACATTTTTACAGTAATTTTTCTCCACCTTTTTCGTGCAAAAATGCTTTTAATGTTGTAGCTCTATTTTTCTTGTCGATATTCTATCATCTGCATGGTAAAAATGCAACTTGAAATTCATCGATATAGCAATAAAGAAAATAAAAATATGACCACCTAAGCCAGCGTCTTCCTGGGGTACTGGCCTCGGAAGCCATAAAGCAAACCTTTTCTATTGAGAGAGAGGCCAGATTAAATGTCAAAATTAACTCTCTCAGTACCCCGAAGGTATTTGGAACAATGCCTCCTTCAAGTTTACAATCATATTTTTTGAATCTTATTCTAAAAGCTTTCCTTGCGTAATTAAGTCCAACAAATCGCAGCATTGTGCGTTTTTGTGAGCTAGATTTTAAAATTGCACATGGCGGTAAAAGCGATATAAATTATAATATACGCACATAGAGAGAAAGATTTAGCAGAATGTGTAAAAGGGAGAACGTTACCAAGTCTTTTGCATCTGGAAATAAGGAGGTAAAGAAATATGATGTAGGACGAACAAAAACTGCTGCTATTGTATCAAAAATAGCAGACGTTAAAAATGCTTCCATTGTTGAATCTCTTCAGAAACAAATACAGTGCCCACCTTTTATTTAAAACACTTTCATTTTATGCTCTTTTGATTTTATTAAGAGGCGATTGAACATTTGGAGAGAGAAAAAATCACATTTTTACGATATATTCTAAATGCACACGCTTTGAAAGCTAAAATAATGACAACATTAATGCTTTATTTAACTAATTTGATTATTTTAATAAAGTAAAAACCTACATAAGATAAAATTTACTAAACTTATGCAAAAAAAAAAAAACGATCAATGATTGCTTGAGTTACAGTATTTAAAATTACTTTTCAGCATCATTTGAGAGTTTATAGAAGTTTTTATAGTTTTCGATATTTCCTCCTCTTTGTTCTAAAGCTTGCCGCAATACATTAAATGCTTTTCTGACTTCCGTTGAAGATGGCACTGATAAGTTTATTTCATCTTCTGAGTCTGATTCCTCCATTTCATGATTGGAAATAACTTTGCAATTTTTGATGTCAGTAACAATTTCAGAATCAGATTTTTCTCCTGATGTTTGTAGGTTATCGTCAATATCTACATAACATGAAAAATTCTCGTCCATTTCATTTTCTTTATTGCTGAGCATTTCTTCGGAACAGTTATCAGCTCCATCGCCAGTGCTTAATCCACACTTTTTAAAGCAATTTGATATTGTTTGGGTTGAAACAATGTCCCATTAGTTACGAATCAAATGCATTGATTCCAAAATGGTAAGGGATTTCGATAGTTTGTTTGCAGTTAAGAGTTCAGAAGAACTGTCACAGTCTATGTCACTAATGATTTTTTGAACAAACATTTTTCTGTAATGAAACTTGAATGATCTTATGATTCCCTGATCAAGGGGTTGAATAATAGCTGTAGTGTTGGGTGGCAAAAACACTAATTAAAATTTTTCAAACATAAGTCCTCATCAGCTGGGTGCGCAGAACAATTGTCTAAAAGATAGACGACCTTTTCATTTTTCAGCTCCTTGTCCCATTCAAGAAGAAACTTTGTGAAGATGCTGGATGTCATCCATGTGTTATAGCTGTTGGCATAACTGGTGGGCAGGTGTTTTACTCCTTTAAAACATTGAGGTTTTAAACTCTTTCCTATCACTAAAGGTTTTTTTTCTCTCACAGTTCCTGTCATGTTGCATGTTAGCAACACGGTTAGTCTTTCCTTTATTTTTTTACATCCACCAGTCGATTCATTTTTAAACAGCAGTGTGTGTTCAGGAAGTGCTCGGAAAAATAATCCTGTTTCATCTGTGTTGAAAATTNGTTTTTTTTTCCTCACAGTTCCTGTCGTGTTGCATGTTAGCAGCACGGTTAGTCTTTCCTTTATTTTTTTACATCCACCAGTCGATTCATTTTTAAACAGCAGTGTGTGTTCATAAAGTGCTCGGAAAAATAATCCTGTTTCATCTGTGTTAAAAATTTGCTCTGGTTCATAGTCTTTGATGAGTGTTGGCCACACGTCATTTACCCAATCAGCGGCAGAGCTAAAATCAGCATCTTGCGTTTCACCATGCAATTTACGATAGACAATGTTGTTGGCTTCGTTCCACCGGGTTAGCCACCCATCTGTAGCTTTTAAATCAGAATCACCAAATAAGTTAGCAAAGTTCCTCCGATTTTCCTTCACGCTTATGCTTTCTTTACAGATTTCCATTCTTTTTTATTTCCTCGGAAATATTAATCCTTTGTTTCAGAATGTTGAAAAGAGCAGTTTGGGTAATCCCTAATTTAATTGAAGCTTCACTTTGACTACATTTAGGAAGCTTATCATAGTTTTGCAACACTTCGAATTTATCTTTAAGACTCAAATCCTTCCTTTTCGGCATGCTGATAAAATTTAACCCCAAACGAACTTAAAAATGATATGTGCTCTAACTCTAACTATAATTTACTCAGATGGCTTAAATAATATGGAACATGCGCTCAGAGTGTTTTTGGAAATCTATTTATGTTCTCTGTTAAGATAGATAACAAAAGAAACTTCTCTTCCTTCTATAGTTCATTCAATAAAAAGTAAGACAAGAATTCAAACCCTTCGACCCCCTGTTGAGTGAGATAGGTTTCTCCAAACTTCATTCAAGTCAAGGAATTGACATTGATAAATTGATTTCTATGAACTCGCCGCTTACCACCCACATTTTTCCTTAACTGTTACACTATGTATATCACCGGAAAGTGCTAACCACACTTGTTTCACAGGTTTGTGAGTAACTGTTGCTTCTTCTAAAAAAATCTATAAACTTCGAAAAAATAAAATTTTATAAATAAGAACAAAATAAACTGAAATATTGCACTTTTGATTTATTATGTAGTCAAAATTTTGATTTTAAAAAGCGGCAGCATTGATTTTATTAAAGGGTGTTTTTAACATATATTAATATTGTAACGATTTGGTTCTTGCTAATTTGATTTTATAAAGCGGCTGATTTTATTATCCGGTGATTTTATTAGCGTCGGGTACTGTATATGCTGTAGCTACTAATGATGGCAACAATGCAGGTGCGCAACTTCAACCTGTAGTTGTGTCTTGCTCCGACACACAAGCCAGAGAAGTCAAGGTATTGCTGCTTGCAGTGCCGAATTTAGATGCTCAATCTACCTATTAGTGTCGTATTATTGTATAATACAATAGTTGGTCAAGATTTAAAAATGTGTTTTCTGTTATCGGTTTCAAACTAAAAAATTTTTAAAAAATCTATACAAAATTGACTAGTGTATTTTACAATTTAGTAACAGATAGTTCTTAATTTTGTGTAAAAATGTTCTCGAATAACATTTTCAGTATAACACTATGGCGAGTAAAACACTATCTCTGAATTATAAGATCATGCAGATTATAATGTTGGCAAGTATGCTTTGCATTTTTTTTTTTAGATCTTTTTAATAAATTTTCAACTTTATTTTCTAAATTTTATTAATAAAAATTCCTTTTCTGTACTTTATTAATAAGATTTTTTATTTCAGGTTATTGTTTTGTACGTCAAAAAAAGTCTTGTCATTTTGTAGATTTTAATGATCTTCATGATATTAAAGTTTCAAGAATTATTGAGGGACAAAAATTAGGGAGTATTTCTTCTAGGTAAGAAAAGTATTCATTATACTGAAACGTTTCACTCTCTTTTTTATTTTAATGAAATTCTTCTTCTCATTGGCACGACAGCCCAGGATGGGCCTTGGCCTTCTCAACAAGCCTATACCAAGACATTCTTCCCTTAGCCAAGGTTCTCCAGTTAATTATCTTTAAAATTTGTAGGTCCTTTTCAAGGCAGTTTAAAAATCTTAGATTTGGTCATCCTCTTTTTCTTGTACCTGTTGGCCTGGCACAGAAAACTTTTTTGGTTGTCCTGCTATCCTCCATTCTTATAATGTGGCCTGCCCATTTAATTCTTTGAATTTTGATAAATTTAATGACGTCAGGTTCTTTATATGCTTTGTAAAGTTCCGTGTTTGATCTTGTAAACCAGGTACCGTTTTTACGAAATTTTAATTAAATTATTAACTTTTATTGAAAGTTTGTTTTTATAAATACTTCTTTATTGACAAAGACAATGGCCGCTAAAGTATCTTGAACTTATCAAAAGGGCAAAGAAAGAAATTAGCCAATAAAAAAGTAACTGATGTTTATGTATTTCCATTGCATTGATGCTTTGTAAAAGAAAATAACCACAAAAGGATCATAAACTTATCAAAATGGCAAAAGCGGAACTAGTCAATCGAGTTATTGATGTTTTACGTATCCTAATCAATATTATTGATTGTTCTGCCGTAGATGAATAATTTAACAATAATTGAACAATAACGTAGATGAAATATTTTTTTTATTTATTATTTGTTGCTTTGTAAGACATGCGCTCTGAAACTCTTGCTAACTGGAATATTTTGTGTGCTTGTCAGCTGGATTAGCGATTGCGTGTTTACCTTAGAATTCAATCGTTGAATTCCTTTTCCCAGCTATTTTAGAAGTTCAAGTATGTTCTGGGTATGTTTTTGTTTTAAAGTATTTAATAAATAGTTTATTTTGGCAATTTAGTTTCATTTCATTATTCGATGGCTCATGTTAGTTTAATTCATGTTAGTTTAATTCACATTAGTTTCTCCTCACATTAATGCTTTGAGAAAGTTCATAACCACGAAAGTATTTTGAGTATACCAAAATGGCAGAGAAGAATCTGTCAATAAAGGGTCATTGATGCTTTATGTATCAAAAATGGAAAAAAGGAACTAGTCAATAAAGAGTCATTGATGCTTTATGTATCAAAAATGCTAAAAGGGAACTAGTCAATAAAGAGTCATTCATGCTTTATGTATCAAAAATGTAAAAAGGGAACTTGCAATAAAGAGTCATTGATGCTTTATGTATCAAAATGGCAGGAAAAGAACTAGTCAATAAAGAGTCATTGATGCTTTATGTATCAAAATGGCAGAAAAGGAACTTGTCAATATAAAGAGTCGGTGGTTTGAGAAAGTTCATAACCACAAATGTATCGAAAAAATAAAAAAATCACCATAAAGGAATTATTTAATAAATAGTTTTTTATGCTTTCTGTATCCAAGTGAATTGATGCTTTGAGAAAAAATCACAAAAAGTATCTTGAACATATCAATATGGTAAAAAAGAAAATAGTCTATCGAAAATTATTTTTTTTTATTTGTACCTTCATTGCATCAATTTTTGCGACATTAACTTTATTAAATCTTTTATCGATAATTTTTCATCTAATCATAATTAATAATAAAACTGCTTCTGTCTGCATTGTTTTAGCATGTAGAAATTTTATGTAGTTTAATGTTACCTCTTTGAATTCTGTAGAAGTTTGTGATAAATTTTCTAGTAAATTCTTATTAACAGCACTCTGTATTTTAATTTATTGATAATAAAAAAATATCAAAGTGAAACTTGGATTTTTATTTTTTTAAAAACTTGATTTTAAAGTTTAGTTGAAAAATTTAAAACAGCAATTATGTTACAATATGGCCTATGATTTTTATAAAGAAATAATAAATATTGAAATTTTATTTTGATTTAAAATTTCATGCATATACATTTGTTGAATACAAATCAGACTTTTAGAACTGTTTTGAGTTTTATAGGATGTGAATGGCTTAATATGTTTAATAATACTCAAAGCTATTTAAAAATTTTGTTCATTTATTAAGTTTAATTATTTTAGTGCATTTGCACATTCCCATATTTTTTGTGGCTTATTATTATTTCACAATAACAGGGTGGCCACCCACCTGGAAAACCTTGAAAACCTGGAATTATCAGGGAATTTTTTTATACTGGAAAAAACCTGGAAATATCAGGGAAATTTGGATTAAAGCCTGGAAAAAATCAGGGAATTTTAAAGAAAATCTGGAAATTTTTTCTTTGATAATTTTTTTTAAATTTCACTAATTTAAATTATTTACTAATTTTCTTAATTTAAATTTTTTCTTATTTCATCCATTATACCCACTTTTTAAGGCGGAAATGTACCTCCAAACAGCTGAAATATCATCAACTTAGCGATACTTTGCTTGCATCAAAATTTGCTCCATTACAGCTCTTTTAAACTAGAATCCCACATAAAATTTTCCCATGGTTGCTACACGAATGTAGAAACCTTTGACCGCTATGAGACTGTGCAATTTAGGAAAGATTCTGGTGGAAAAAGGNCTCTCCAGTCTCCAACACAATTAGTTTCTTCACTGTAGGTTAATTTTTTTAAGGCTAGATTTCATATATATTTCAATAGAATAGCTCTTTCATATAACAGGGGATGAAAAAAGAAATCAATCTTAGAAAAACCCAGTAAAACACACTTTAGGGTGGGTTTTACCGGGTTTTTCAGAGTGGGTTATACCCAGTAAAACCCGGGCGGGTTTTATTGGGCAGGTGGGTTTCTTGCAACCCTGAATAAAACTGCTTCTGTCTGCATTGTTTTAGCCTGTAGAAATTTTATGTAGTTTAATGTTACCTCTTTGAATTCTGTAGAAGTTTGTGATAAATTTTCTAATAAATTCTTATTAACAGCACTCTGTATAATTTTGTGGTAACNGATTTGAGTGGCCATCCTGAATAAACTCTTCATATGTTATCACATTAGGCAAACTTCATATTTGTTTACTCCTATGTAGGTGTAATTAGTATTATGTTCAAACTAGTATACTTGTAAAATAATTTTGTGGTAACTTATGTTTAATCATGTCTTTAAAACATGTATAAATCACTTGATGTATGCATTCAATATATTTTAGAATTAAATTTTTAAATTAATTTCTTCTTCTTTTTTTTTTAGTCCTTACTGCCCATCTGATTTTATTGTCATACATGAGGAAGGAAATCTAGAGTTTAGAAACACAGAAGAAAAGTAAAAAATAATTTCTTCGCTTTTCACTCTCTTAATAAAAATTATAATCACTTTCAATAAAAATTATAAGTAAATTTGAATAGTAATCAAGGCCTATTTTATAATATATTATTACTTGAATATTGGAAATTGATAAGTTTTAAATCTATTTTTCAGTGAGTGTCAATGGTCTTTATACAAGCATGAATACCAGTTTCCATTTGGTAAAATTAATTTAGCACAATGCAGTTTTGGATCTCACCCTCAGTCAATTCTGTGTTTAAATGAACAATATTTGTATTCATTTGATATGCGCTTAGAGGTTTGTATTTTTAAAATTCAACTTTATCATAAAATTTTAATATAATTTACTCATTTTTATTTCAAATTTAGAAAGGGACATTTAAAGTTTTGAATCATTTAATTAATAGTCAAACAAATAGATTCGAATGCTAAAAAAATTGTTTTAAGGTGAAGTTTCTAAATTATCAATATCTTAGTTCACTCCTTAACCCTTTAGCACAGTTGTCTCTTTTATATTGTTATTTGGTTGAATAATACAGAGGCCAATGCCGGCAAATAAAGTATTTATTAAAACATAATATGCGGAAACAATATTTTGCACACACAGTGCTATACATCTGAATCAACCAACAACCAGTTAGCTTCTTCAATAAATATATATCGATATCCTCTATCGGGAAGTTGTTGTATTACATTGCGCAACTTAACTGAGAAAAATAAGATTTTATTTGCATATTAACAACATATATATATCTATATATATATTGAAAAAATAGTGAAAATAGAAATACCGTGTTTTTTAATTACAAAAAACAATCTGTTAGATTATCAGAATGATATTTGCACTAAAATATAAAATCTAAAAAAAGAAAAAAAATTGTCCTTCATATTCAAAAATGTCTCAATACATGATTTTGTAAATTTTTTTTAATTTTTTACAACTGTCATTGAACAGCCGACTTAAATTTTGACTTTTCGGTTACCTTGTAATTTTGAACCCTATCCAGAAGACTAGAACACTTAGATCAGTATGCGGTATTGCATTGTTATGAGAACTTGGAGGACTTTGTGACTCTGGCAGATTTAACGTGTTACTGACACCATTTAATACCAAGGGATTCTTCGGCAGGCTGGATTTGAATTCCCGTTCTGTTGAACATGAGAACAATGCTTAACCAACCAGCCTATCCGTGCCTGATTTTTTGAATTAAAAAAATTTCAGTGATGATCATCTGTTTCTCTTATATTAAAATGCAAATTTTAAAAATTATTGTTTGGAAATTGTCCATATTGGGAAAATTACCTTTAATGCAGACAAAGACACCAGTGTTTCTTACCTTATTTTATAAACGTGAATTATTAAAATGCTACGTATAATATTTTTCACTTATTTTGATCTAAGTAATATAAAAATATATTTTTAATTAAAATACTGTACCAAAGGGGTAAAAAAATCAAAACATGTTTTTAGTCTATCCAAAATAAATAATTATAAAACATAAAATGCGTAAAAAAAAATTTTTTTAGGCAAAACAATTTTCTATTTTTACTGCTCAAAAGACCAGCATGTTAGTTTTCGTTGTTTCATCAAAAGAATATATCCTCATTTTATTCAGCAAAATTATGAAATTTCGTTTTTCACCTGTGGCATTATTATGACCACTTTTTCAAATATTTAAAATTTTTAACGATAAAAAATACTTTTAATTTTAATATTATATGACATTGGAATTTTTTAAGCATTTCTTAAAATCTAGTAAATATCACATCACCTGGCTCATTTCTAAAATAAGGAATAATTTTAAGAAGCAAGTATGAAGTAAAGTAATTTACAAAGTATTATGAACTATACATAATAATACTATATTTATTTTTTAAAAAAATAGAATGCTTATTTGGTACATTTTTAACAAAAAAAGTGGCACCTGGCAGATAATTTTCTTAATAGCCATGTATTGTATTTAGTCGTCCTTTGGCTGATGGCGACCATTAATTTTGCACTATACTTCAGATGCCAGATATAACGAGTTTAAATGTCAACAGTTTTTCCACATCAATGATAGTGTTTTGATACGTCCAGGCTTTGTTGCAGTAGTACAAATAGCAATGGGAAGTATCAGAGCAAGGCTAAATTGACAAATGGAAAGTGTAGCCTATGATTCCAAGTTTAAAAAAACTTTAAAAACATAGAAGGTTTAGAACTTATAAATGCAATAAAAAGTTTTTTAATTTTTTACATTATTTTTAATTATTAAATGTAAAAATTATAATTTTTATTTAAAATTTTTTACATGTTGTATGATATTTTTATAGTACATTTCTTCTCATTTTGATGCCAAAACAAAATCCACAAGATTCAAATAACTAAATAAAGTGCTATAAAACTTTCGAAAAGGTTACCTTGGTAAAATATATTACAATTCAAATAATTGTTCATTGTGATCAAAGAATCTGACCAATGAGAGTAATACTGTCAAGAACAAAAATTTGTAGATTGGCATGAACATGCACTGACTTTTTTTTTTTTAAAGAAAGAAAAAAAACGAAAAATATGTTATTTTTCTGTCATATTTCAAATTTAATAAATTCTTGTGTTCTGCCTGAACTTCTATATTTCAGTCTAATAACCAAGTTCAACCTTAATAAATACTAATTCTATTTTTACTTCAAAAATCACTTCGCAAAAAAATTAAATGAATAAACAGAACAACGAAATATTGTCCATTATATGTTGGACACTGAATCTTAGCAGGTTAATTAGTTTCCCTCTAATAAACTATTGCTAAAGAGAAAACTCTTGACAATCTTACAACTGACAACCCTGATTAGTTGCAGAACACTCAATGGCTATTTGAGTTGCTGTTGTTTGCAACCAAAATTGTTTTAAAATAAATTTTAAAAAAATATGTTTTAAGAGATGAGAGAATATAGAATTGATACAATATGAATTCTTTTATTTTCATTTTTAATATTTTTGTGTGTTACCGTTTGAAAATAAGTTAAATTGTTTCTTTTTTTTTAATAATCAAAAAGCAGCGTTGATTTCAGTAATAATCGCTAACTTGGCAAGATTTCAAAAAGTGGGCTGTTCTAGGATTTTACCCAAATCTGAAATTAATGTTGCTCCTAAAGCTAAAGATTTTTTAAAAATGATATTTATAGTCTATTTTTTTTCCTTGAGATATACAAGTTTTAAAGCGTTAGATATAACAAGAGGTCACATAATTATTACAGTAAACTTCTCGAGGAATCTGGACTCATCATTAAGACTATTAAAATTGCAAAGAAACCCATGCCTGGAAATGCCAATGTTCATGACTAGGGGCGCTCATCTATTATGATCAGTTGAGAAACAGTTGATGATAGTAAGAGAGCAAACTGGAGGCGCGTAACGACATTTCCGAGCATGAGTTGCTATGCAATTTTAATCCTAGTGATGTGCCTTAGTTCTCCTAGAAGTTTATCGCAACCTTTACGCGACCTCCTGTTATATGTATAAAAATAGACTGTAAATGTCATTTTAAAATATTGTATCCAGTTGCTAATTTGAAGTCAGCGATCTGTCAGAAAATCTCTTTAACAGAAAAGAAATTTGTTCCCCAGTGCAATTTTTATTATATATTTGATTTTTATTGTTTTGTTTCATTTTTCTTGCTTAATTATTTTATTTTCCTGTCTTTCCTTCAGAGTAACCAAAGTTCTGTACTACTGTCCTCTGATTTTGCTTCATGTTATGCCCATGAAAAATTTATAAGCTGCAAAAGCTGTGCTGTGAGTCCTTTCCAGCATGTGATCTCTACATATTACCGTTTATTTGTTTGTGATGAGCGCTATCCAAAACGACCAGTATGTGAAAAACTTTCATTACTAAACTTTTCAAATACAGTAGAGTGCCACTTATCCAGACCAATCTGGAAGAAAGCAGATAGAAAATGCGGATCATTGGACTACTTTAAAAAATGGCTATGAAAATGTTTTTAAGTAACTTTCCTTTGCACATTTTTCAGGCTAAGTAGCAATTGTAGTAATGCCTATTATAGCATATTACAAATGGCGTGTTTAAATGTTTAATTTACTAGAAACATGTTCCCTTATTAAAAACTACTTGCCATCCACATTGACTCAGGGCGAAAAGAATGTGAATTTTTTTTTTTTAAAGTTCACCGAGGGATGAAATATGCCTTTCTTTCGGCCCCTTTCAGATGTTCTAAAAATAAAAAAGCACTTTTGGGATTATTATTATAATTTTTTTTAAGAAGGTGGGAAAAGTGCATGGTCCTTTAATGATGCAGATAATTGGACAACCTGGTAAACCGGTAATCGAATAATTGGTGCTCTACTGTATTTTATATTGTGTTATGTTGAAAATATTACTTGTAGATTCCTCAATTACCTAAGAGTTGGGCTTGAAATTTTGTCATCTTTTTTGTACACACCATAATAATTTCTTTACAACTTTAAGAATAAGATTTAGCGAGGCTGGAAAAAAACAAACAAGATTAATAAGAAAAACAATCCTGTATCACGCATGAAAAGTGTTTTTATTCATTTATTTTTTTGACAGAACAAGAATTTGTTTAGGTTTTATAGGTTAAAATTTGGTTTGGATGTAGTTTAAAAGTGGCTTATTAAATGAATGTATTCTTTTACAATTTGTTTTATTTTCAGTTGTTCTGAATCACCTTTTGAGTTATATTATTAGTAATTTGGTTCAGTTTGGAACTAGACTTGATTTTGGTTTTAAACGTTAAAATTTGGTTTGGATGTAGTTTAAAAGTGGCTTAATAAATAGATATGTTCTTTTACAAGTTGTTTTTATGTTTAACGATTTTTATCTTTTTATGTTACATCAGTTAATAACAACTGAACTGTTCCTATGTGCTAAAAGAACAATTTCATTTTTCTTGCAAATTTAACAGACAAAATGTGTGATAATGTATAATATTTTTTATTTGAAAAGCAGAATTTTTTAATACTATACATTCAAAGTTATAGCTAGTTTTCATCTTTTCCTATGTAAAATATAATTTTATTATTGTTCAATTATATAGATTTTAACATTTTTAATTTTTAAATAAATCCTTAAACTACATTTGTTTTGAATTTGTTTATGTTTAAAAATAATTTGGTTAAAAATATTGACCAGTCAAAATATTTAAATCTTTTAGCACTTTGAATTAGTACTTAACCTCTTTATTTTCAATTTTGAAATCTTACTTTTGGCTTATTTTTATTTCAAAGTTTGTTTACATTAAATTGAAAAACACCTGTAAAATTTCTCTTACTAGTTATGTTATGTGTTTCATATAATTTTTGATTAAAAAAAAGTGAGCAAACATTAACCATTTAAGAGCCTTTCAAATACAACATAACAATTGTAATAATGTTTCAAATATTAGTAATTTTGGGCTTTCACTTGTCTCCAAATCTCAAACTCTTTCTCATGCTTTCTTTTAAAGTTAACAACACCCATATTTCTAGCTCTTTGCTTTAACTTTGATTTTTATTATAGCAATCTAATTTTACGATTAAATTCAAATAAGAGATGTAATTTTTTATTAAACCAAATTTGCATTTTAATTCATTTTATAAAGTTTTGGAATAATCTTTTGTGTTTCTCCTTATGTTTTCAAAATTGTTGATCTGTAAAACTCTTTAAAGAATTTTTTTTCTTCTCAAATTTAACTTTTATACCAAATTTTAAATTTTTCCACATAATTTTTTTTTGCATTTTTTGCTTTGCGTTTTAACAAAATTTTGAAAAGGTGATTTTAATGCCTTACATAAACATTGCTTATACCTCCACCTTCCCCCTCGTTAACCTTTTAATGCAGATGGGACAATAGTCTCACTTTTATATATTTTTTTCTGGAACTTTAATTACACGCTAGTTACTAAAAAAAAAAACCCTTCAGATTATCGGAATTATATTTGTACTAAAATATAAAATCCAAAAGAAATTACCTAGTTTGAAATTTTTTTTAACTCAGAATTTTATTAATAATTGATTTTGTAAATTAAAAAAAACTTGAATGATTTATAACTATTTCTTTTAGATCTAAATAACTGCAAATAAGTGCAAATTTGCAAAATTATTGTGTTTAGAAGCGTTTTGGAAAATTTCACCCTTAACGCATAAAAAGGCACTGGTGTTTCGTGTTGTATTTCCTAACCATAATTTATTTGAATGTTAAAGATAATATTTTTCTCTTATTTTTTTACTTAAATTAATATTAAATAATAAAAATAGTTAATAAAAATGTGTTTAACAAAAATTCTGCATCATATGAAGGTTATATATTTGAATCGCCCCCTAGTTCTCATGGTTTGCACTAAATAAAACTGCTTAATTTTATCTTTTATAGGTTTTGATTTATAACCATATGATGAGGGGTCATCCTATGTACTGTGATTCTGCAATCGTAAATAATGCTCGTGACTCTTCAGATGTCATAGTGATTCTGGGAACTCAAGACTCAAATGAGCTCAGCTCTTTTGCCATCAGAGCTCAACATTCCATAGTTCAACCCATTTCACTGTCTCCACCCTTGCATCTCTCCACTACCACAGATTGTGCAAAATCATTGAAACTCCATTGTATTCCTGTTGATGATTCCTTAGAACAACGGCTGTCCTATCCTCTTGTTGGGGTCAGTGTTATTCCACATTCGAACTCAGGATATTCGGTATTCCAGATCAACTCACTTGGTGATGTATTTTATCAAGACTTTAAGAAAGATGCCTCAGCTGTTGAGAAGAGTCATCAAGTTAGTATGGGTTGTGTTTTGACCACTCCGGACAAAATATTGCCTCATTTATCTCAGTTCATGCCAGTTTCTGATGAAGGAAATGGTCTACCAGAGTATTCTAATGATTTGTCTGAGGAAGTAAATGTGGATCTTTCGAAAATTTTCAGTATGTCAGCACGTTTAGATTCACTCGTAATCTTTTAATTTTTAAAAATTTTAGTGAAGGTATGCGGTGATAGTTTCACGTGTGATAGTTTCAGTACACAAACATGCCACTTTTTCTCAAAACCGTAAAATTCTGTTTTTGAAATTTTTTTTAATGATTTTTATCATACATTTAACAATTTTGAAATTGTAAAAAAATGTGGTATGTTGAACTAAGGGACCTTTCCAGTGGAGTATAAAATTTAAAAAAAAATTATATTTTATAAGAGGGATATCTTATTTTTTTAAAAAAAATTTTTGACGATAAAATCTAATCTTGTGTGATAGATATAAGTTGTATTAAAAATTTACATTGCTGTCTTTATTCAGTTCATATAAAATGGTTTTAGTATAATTGAAAATAAAATGTTGACACAAATTTTGAAAATGGTAAAATAAGATTTCGAATTAGCGTTTAGAAATCGATAATTTTTTTAAAAAATAAACTGAATTCCAACGAAGCAAATCCAAAAATAACAACTGACAGAAACATTTTATAATTAAAAGTGAATAAACTCAGAACATTTATACAAAAACATAGCTGCCAACTCTACTGGATTTTCCAGTTTCTCATGGTGGACTGGTTTAATTTGAATTCTCCTGGTTTTTGTACATTTTACAATATTCCATAAAATTGAGTAAGTTTCCTAAAAAAATCCATATTGAAATAGAATTTTTGTACAGATAATTGCTTGCTTTCTTGAATATTCAAATAAGTGTTACTAATACATAGTAAAGCAAACCTCATTTAGAGAAATAAAAATCAGTTCAAAAATTTTTTTGTTAGAAAATATTCAGTTTATTTTTATTCAGAACTCTCTTTTTAAATTAATTAAAAAAAAATTTCTAACTATCTTTGACGAATTAAATGCCTTTTAATATTTAAAATTATGACTACGTGTAACATTTCTAAAAAACTAAAAAAAAAACTCAGTGACTCGACAGCCCATAGAAGGCCAAGGCCTACTGTGCAATCTCAGTTTTCTTGACCTTGGTCTCTAGGGTGCAGGAGCAGATGTTCCAGTTAGGTGGGCAGCCGAACGCAAAAACCCCTGTGTTTAATTCCCAAGCATGCTTGGTACTCATTAATCGACCCACTAGAGGGATGAAAGGCTGAATACATAACATTTCAAGTATGTTTAATGCCAACCATAAGTGGAAAATATTGCAATTTTTCTATTTTGATGACTATAAAAATCCCTAAAATTCCCTATGTGTGAAATATTTAGTACATTATGCAACAAATATCGTGAAATTTATATTATTTCGTAAAATTTACTGGATTTTTTTTCTTATCCATGTTGGCAGGCAGCTATGCAAAAAAAACATTTTTTAATTTATATTTTGTTTAATTTATAATTATTCTTTTAAATTATAATTATTATATTTAATTTGTAATTCTTAAGTTTCAATACCGCCTAAAGTTCAGCTTTTTTTTTTTTTTTAAACTGCTGTGGCATGTTTGAATGCAGTACAGATGGCGCTACCATTATTCAGGCCTATAAAAGAAGCAAAAAGGAGTGTCCTGCATACCACATATAATTATTTAACTGATTAATAAGTTCATAAATGTAAAACTGGTGAAAGTTTAGTGTATATTGTGTATGAGTGAATATTTGCACAGGTATCTGTCAATTCTGTTCTTAGACTATAACATGTTGTTGCATTTGGTGGATGATGAGTTCTTTAAGAGTATGTTTTATAGTTTTTATGACTAAGTTTGAACTTTGGTGAGAATAAAGTACCATATTTCTTATGCTGTGTGCAATAAATTGTCCATTTCTATCTCCTCCTTGTTTTGTAATTTAAAAAATTTTTTTACCCAGTTCCAACACAGATAGTTTTCTTTTAATATATTTTTAAAATTTTTAATTTTATATTTACCTCTCTCATGAAGTATTTAGTAAATTACGTACATAATATTTAATTTAATTTTGCATCAATCAAGATGGCATCAAATCCTACATCCGAAGAACTGTAAAATAAAACATATAAATTAATTATTTGCTCTTGATGCAAAAATTTTCATGATTATGTTAGGTTATATTGCTTGATATTGCAGGTTCAATGAATGATATTTCTGCATTCTGCAAAATTTGTAATCCAGATAAAGATTCTACCATAACCAATGAAGCTGATAACACAACAAACATATGTCATTCCTGTGGCTATACTGAAATTGAAAGTAAAGATATAAGTGAATCATTTAATAATGTAAGTCAACATTTAATTAGGTTTTTTTTTCTACATAAATTGCTCTTTTACTGCTTATGTTCAGGGATGACATTTTTATATAAATATTCCACTTTTTCTGAAAATTCAGCTATTGAAATAAAATAATTATATTTATTTCCGATTTGATATATAGATGTAATATGTAGAAAGATATAGAAAATTCAAACTACGTAACTGCCATCAACCCTTCTGGAAATCTACTTATTTTAGATCTTGGCTTTTATGAGCAGAAAATAAGATATTTCTTATTTTTACCCGTCTGTTAGATAGCTAATATTTTCATAATTCAGACGTCACTGCATTTTAATATCAAACATCGATTTTCATTTTTACCTGATTTAAAAGTTGCATGTTGCGATTCTTATTCACATGATTTCAATATTGTTAATTGCAATTCTTATTTACGAGATTTAAAAATCCAATATTGCGATTTATATTGAGGCGTTTTTAAAATTCTATGTAGAGATTCATATTCACGCGAGTTTATCCAATGTTGTGATTCATTTTTGCGGTTGTATTATCCAACATCTATTTTCGTATTTACACTTGATTTAAGAATTAGGCTTTGGATTCGTATTCATGCCATTTAGAAATTATGCATCGTTATTCTTATTTACGCAATCTGAAAATTTTGCGTCATGATTGGAAATTTTACATTTTTGAAATCCAATATCGAGTTTCATACAAGTGATTTCAATATCGTTGTTTATATTCACGCGATTTTAAAATCCAAGATCGCTATTTGTATTCACGCAATTTTAAAATCCTTTGTCTCGATTCTTGTAAAAAGTAAGTTTTCTTTTTGAATTAGTTACTATAAATGTGGCAGTTTTTCTATCGACGATTATTGCTATATATGGGTCATTCTCATTGAAAAGGTATAAATTAACTAAAAAAATTTCTTAAATTAAAGTAATTAAAAAAGTGATAAAAACTACATAAATGCCTTTATTTATTTTTGCTATATGTCCATATAGTAATGGTCAAGTTTTCTATTTTATTTTTTACAAGATTTAAAATATTTTAAATTCTGCCTTGTCCACGGAGGAGATGTAATAGTCAACGGAGGAGACATTTTATGTTATAAAATATAAAATGTCAATGAAGACTAATTCATTAATTATTAAGTACAACTGATATGAGTTTAACATTAATAAGTAAATAATAAAATATTTCATTATTAGAGATAGAGCTACTTCCGATTAATCATGCTGCTATGAAAGGAAACATCCATTTTTAACCTAGGTGTACAATTTTTTAAGTAACTCTTACTGAATATTAATAAATTAAAATGTAAAGACTATTGAAATAAAAATTCAGACTCCACATGAAAGTTGAGTGTTGAGGGTACTCTTTTATGAACATTTTATGCAAGTTAAACATACTGTCATCCAAATAACGTTTTTGTTTTTTCTCTTTTCTTCTTGTTATTGTTTCTTTTTTCCCTGGGCACAAACGGCTTGCTCTATCAATTTCTAGAAATTTAAGTACATTTAATCACGATTTTTCTGTTAAATCTTTTTCTGATACAAATTTTAAAGTTTCTTGCTCTTTTTTTTTTTTTTTTTTTTTACTTTCTTCAAACAATATAGGGTTTTCTTTTAATTTCTGTCTAGCTTGTCTCATACTAAGTTTTTTCTGTTCCCTTCTCTTTTGCATTTGAACATTTGATTGCTTTCTTTTCTTAAATTTTGGTTTTGCAATTTTTTTCCTAAAATTTGAAGAGAAAAAAAATGTTAAACATCACAGAAATTATTTAGAAAAATTGCCAATATTTACTTCTCCGATAAGAAAAAGTTAAACTTAATTGATTTTCTTTAAAAATAGAAACAAATTAACACATTTGTTCCATTTTAAAAAATATCAATTAAAAGAAAATAGTTTTTTAATTATTAAAATTGTATTATGGTTATCTAACACATTGTCTCTTACATTGACTGTGTCTTCTCCTCCGTGGACTTGTTATGTCCACGGAGGGGACGTCCACGGAGGAGACAAAAACTAGTTCTTGAATTTTACTGATTTTTAATTTTAAAGTTACAAAAATGGGGCTAATTTTTGCAATCTAAAATTCATCTATCAAAAATAAAATAATTTTCTCTTACCTTCTTTATGATGTCCACGGAGTATACGGTGAGAACTTTGCCAAACCCCAGTTGAAAACAACAATCCAAAACTGACACCAAAGAGAAGAAAAACAACTGATATTTAACATTAGAAAATGGAATGGTTACCCCTCCCAGCAGGTGTGTTATAGGGATTTCGCATATGCTGCCCTTCAATGCATATTTACAGAACTATATTAATTGTCCACGGAGGGAGACATCATTTTTGATGGACAAAGTTTACTAGTCATATATTTTATAAAAAAAAATTTTTTTTTTAAGAATACTAAATATAAAAAGTTACTATAAACATTTAACTAGGTAAAATTACAAAAATCATTAAAATAACACTTAAATTGTTTAACAGGCATTAAAAATTATTTCGCGCCACAGACGTAGGGACGTCCACGAAGGGGATTTTGAAGTCATGTTTATTAAAAAATAAGAATGAAATATTAAATACATTTAGCAGAAATGCATATGATTTTTTAGTTGAGAACTTCACGAAAAATGATAAAGAAAAATATTAAGAAATCTGCTGTATTTCCTAATATTTATTACTCAGGGACTTAAAAAATCACCTTTTTGTGAGAATGACCCATATAGGCATTACAACATCAGCGGAACTGGATGAGAATATGCTACTGATATTTTTGCTATAAATCACGTATGATTTACTCGCGTGAAAATTCAGCTTTTTTGCCATTTGGCCAATCTCACCCCTGTATGTTGAAACTGTTCCAAAAAAATATAAGATTTGGTTAGGCCTAGCAAATAATTTTCGTTTTTACACAATTTAATAAATATATTTGTGTTGTAAGAGCTGCATTATTCAGTTAGTTTATATAATTATTGTTTGTTAATAAAAAATTCATTGTAGAAATGTTTTAAAAATGTGTTAAATCAGATCAGATGTTTAATATGTCTTTAAATCAGATGTTTCTTTCAGACAATTTTTAAGAAAAAGGACACCTCAAGTACATCCACATGTTCGGGCTTCTTCAAATGATTTTATAATCGTTTTCAAAATATTATGAGAAATTTTGTTTAAATCAGATACAGGTGGGCCTGTTTGACATGCTCGTTGTGACCACATTAGAAATGTTTCGGTTTTCAATTATTGCTTTTTAAATGTTTAAATTTACTTAAAAAAGGGGACGCGCTCACTTTCCAACTGGTATTCTCGAATGTAAGATTATGTTAAAAAATGTTGGGTACCCTTGGTTTAACTACTTTTGTACCAAATTTTTTTTAATGGTGACTGAAATTTTTAACATGAAATGCTCGCTATAATTCAATACCAAGACAATAAATTTTTATGTGTTAGTAAAAAATGTTTTTGTTTGAACTTTATCAATAATTTTTGTTTTTAAATTGATATAAGTTTAGTTTTTTAGCGATGCTGTAACTCTTAGTCTATCTTTTTCTTTTGTAGTTGAGTTTGCTTATTGGACCTACCAAAGAACCATCAATATCTGAAGTTTTTGATATCTCTCAATTTCGTGAATTTAATGATCCATATAGTAAGAAAATTTTAGATGTTTGGGGTTTAGAAGGAAATGTAAGTATTGTATTCTGACTACAATTAATTTGGAAAGTGTTTTATCATTATTGCTTTGTCTGTATTTTTGTGCCTTTAACTTTTATTTTGTTTCTTACTTGAAACATTGGAAAACAACTAAAAATAGTTTAAATAGGATGCAAAACCTTATAACTTTTTAAAATGGTTAAAATAAATTCTAATGTCATAACTATGGTATTGTTAAGATTTATATAATTAATTGATGTCATCTGAAAAAGTATAACCTTATCACATTGTTCTATTAATAGACATGAGAATTGTTAATTAATTAAATATTGCCTTGTGGGTTTTGGGTAGTCAGTAATCACAGAGCTTCATCACTATTAAATTTTCTTCTCTTTTTTTATTAAATGAAGATTATATTTAATTTCAATTGCTGGTTTAATTTCAAGTTAGTTACGATTCCCTTACTGTAAAATGTATTTAAGGTTTCTTATTACAGTCTTAATTTGCTAGATTTGCAGTTGTGAAAGTTTCAGTGCTAAATTATTTTATGAGAACATGCAAGATTTTTGAAAAAGTGCCCCTCACTTATTTAATATTTTCAGCAAAAATAGTAAGAAATCTTATGACACAGAGTTGTGAATTCAAAAAAATTTTCATTTATCTCATTATCATTTGATTTAAAAGCAGTTGAAATTAATAATCAATAATCAAAGAGTCATTAAAGGATAATGAATTCAGAAACCTTATATTTATTTTGAACAAAAATGCTCAGCTGCAATATTTACCATCTTTTCATTTCAAAGTTACTGACATTTTTTTTTAATAATTTGATTAATTATTTAGCCCAATTACAACTTTCAACAAAATATATGGTGTTACTTTTAAAAAGATGTATACGACATTTGGATGCCAGAAAATAAAATGTATCAGGTTTTTTTATTCATGATATTATGTCATTATTTATGGTGGATTACCCTAAGATATTTTATTTTCTGATGTTTCACTTGTAGCAAGAGAGCAAGATAATTCGAGTTTTACTGTATTTTTTCAGAATCTTTCTCTGTTATCAAACTACTTTTGGATGAAAGTCTTCTCCAAACTTTTCCAAAAAATTTAGATCTGCTCTAGTCTTACAATTCCTACCTTTAATTTCACTAAACCACCTTTTTTTTCTTTTCTTTTTCTAACCGGCATTGAACAACTGACCCATTTTTGAGTTTACAACTGTCACTATTCAATTCCATAGACTTATAATATTGAATCCAATTCAGAAGACAAAGGAACTCCTAGATGAAGCATTGGGACAAACTAGCCTTCGTAAATCACTTTTTTAACCCAATATTGCATTACAAGATGAAGCCAACTACAAAAATCTCTAATGGTTAGCTGGTGGCAGGGTAACCCATGATACATCTATCAGTGAGGATATTTTACATCAGCACTGTGGTCAGAGCAAGCCTGGAGCTGAATCAACCAGCCACAGATGGGATTGGAATCTGGGTCACCTCATTAGAGGGTGAGCGCTATATCCCTTGAACCACCACGGCTCTTTATTTGGCATTTGATGTTTTTTTACCGCTATTATTATTTGTTAGATTTTGATTAAAAAAATCTTTTTTTTTTTTCTTACTTAAATACTAATTTGAGATCCCTAATATGTGTACTTTTTATTACTTCATTTTCACAAGGTTTCTGAAAATATACATTTGGGGCTGTGATTGTGAGACACCCTGTTTATGAAGAGGGCACCGTTTAATGTATATTCAATTTTTTTAACAGTGTGGCCAGTTTTCTGCCTATTTGTTGTAATTTATTATTTGCAATCAAAGTAATAATTTTATTTCAGCTCTATAGTGATGCTTCAGTATATTCTAATATGAATTTCATTATCACAATACTATCGTTATCTGCTCTATCTCCTTCAACTTCCATAATTTATTTTAATATTGATTATTTTATTACAGCTAAGTAGAGATGCTCTAATATACTCTGATACAAATTTTACTACATCACCATCGATATCTGCTCTATCTCCTTCAACTTCCATAATTTATTCTAATATTAATCATTTTATTACAGCTTAATAGCAATGCTCCGGTATATTTGGATACAAGTTTCGCTACCGCAACAACATCGTTATCTGCTTTATCTCCTTCAACTTCATTTTCATCTCTTACACGGACTAACACCCAAGATACATCTGTACAATCCACCTCTGAAGATGATGTGACAAAACTATTTGATGATATGTCATCTTTGAGTTCGTCATTTAATGACTTTTCTTCTCAAGAATCATTTGATGAGTTTGTCCCACCTAGTCAAGATATTCGTCCTGTGATAGGAGAAACTTTACGCAAACCTAAAAAGTCAAGAGCGAGTAGTACAAGAAGCAGTCTTTTATTCAATGCTGGATTTTAGCTCTGTTATTTTTATATATTTTTCCCTTTCATATTTCTAATTTGTAAATGTATTGTGGCTGTTAAATATTTTTATAGCATGTTTGTTTTTTGCTTATACATTGAACAAGTATCAAAACAATATAAATATTAGTAATTTTCTTATTGCAAAATACTCATGTATTTTATCTTAAATCAAAGAAAACAAAGAATAAGTTATTCAAGATACAGCATCTTATTTGCTGGTGTAAATAATACCGAAAACAGCAGTACTATTCAGCTTTACAAGGCTGAATTTTTATGTTGAAATGATATTTTTTATTTAATATTTCCAATTTGTAAATATGCTGAGAATATTATAATTTTATTTTTATATAATTTTTTTGGGGGGTTGCAAGCTATTATTAAACGAACAAGTAGTAAGCAATATAAATATTAGTATGCTTCTTATTATGAAAATCTTTTTTATTTTATCTTATACCAAAGGAAGAGAGAATAAAGTATACAAGATGCAGCATTTTGTTTGCTGGTATAAGTTATACCAGAAACAGCAGTATTATACAACTTTACAATGTTGGATTTTTATATTGAAGTGATATTTTTCTATTTCCCCATATTTCCGATTTGTAATTATATTAAGAATATTATAACTTTATTTTTATATGTCATGTTTTTCATTACGATCTATTATAAAATGAACAAGTAATAAACAATATAAATATTAATATGCTTCTTGTTGTGAAATGCTCTTTTATTTTATCTTAAACCTAAAGAAGAGATAATAAGTTATACAAGATGCAACATTTTGTTTGCTATAAGTTATCCCAGAAACATCACTATTATATAGCTTTACAATATTGGATTTTTATTTTATTAACTATTCTCACAGTTTTATTTTTAATTTTTTTGTGTGATATTTTAAGTTTGTAAGTAGACTTGACAGTTAGATTTTTTTATTATTATTTCACTGCAATATAATCTTTACAAAAATAACTGCCCAGTTGTTAAGTATTTAAATAATTTTTTATTTTATTTTTATTGGTACTCATTTATTTAAAATAATATAAATATTTAAATAATAATATAATAAGAGTTTTGTTCTTTGTATTTATTAAATTTGTTCTAGTTATTTTTACTCTTTGTACAATTTTTATGCATTTCATTGTATTTTTCATTTGAAATTATGTTTTGGTCCTTTGTACAAATTATTATTATTTTCGGTGTTTATCTTTGTCCAGTTTATAAAAAGAAAAGATCTTTTACTGTACAGTACAGTAGAGTAGACATAAGAATATATTTACTTTTTGCAATAATAGTGTGTTTTTTTTAACTAATTTTTGTTATGAAACAAAATCCAACAATTTCAATATTTAAATGTCATTTTCTAATTATAATTCTTAATAAACCGTAATAATTTACTGATATGAATTACTTTAATGATTCAATTAGTTTTTTTTTTTTTTTTTAATTTTAATATGAGCAGCATCAATAATTCATAAAAAGGTGGTGTCAAAAATGACTTTTTTTTTAAAATAGTAATTTTAGATCAAAAATAAAGCAACAATATAAAATCTAGTACATTATTGTGGTATCAAACAATGATTTTATGTCCTTCTTCTAGTTTTTACTGTTAAGCATTAAATAATGAAAATTCAACAATAAGCAATAATACATATAAAAGTTAACAAATAAATAAATAATTCCTACTGGATTCTTGCTACACATATCTATTTTAATTATTACAAGTACTTTGATGATTAAAATTGCAATTGTTTAAAAAATTGAAAAGTGGTGTTAAAATTAATTTTTATGCTCTTTTTATGCTGTTTAAATTTTTTTAAGCCATCTTCGTCCAGTTTAATAAAAGAAGAGATCTTTTATTGTACGGTACAGTAGAGTAGACATAAGAATCTATTTACTTTTTTTTTAATAATAGTATTTTTTTTAACCAATTTTTATTATGAAACAAACTCCAACAATTACAATTTTTCAAACATGTGATGCCTGTCGTGGGTATACAATTTCCAATCTAGCAGTGAAAACCGCATTATTCTAACTTTAATAGTTTTTGAGAAAAAAAATTCTTGAAGCTTTAATAATAGAACTTTTTCATGATTTCTCATTTTTAGAAATAGAAAATGTCATTTTATAATTTTTTCATTTTATTTACTTGATAATTAATCAACACTAATAAAATAGATCATTTTTGAAAAATTTAAAAATTCCAAAACTCTTTTTTTCAAGCTTCCGAAATTTTTTTTAAATGAATTTTACTCTTTTCGCTAATTTTGACATAATTCCAGTTTTATAATGAAGAAAGCTTTGCTGCTTCCTTCATTAGGCGTGGTTAATGTATAGTGGAATTATGAATGTTCATTTTGGCCAATATTGAATGAATAAAAACAATAACGTTTCCAGGAAATGATGTACAAATCGTTGAATGTAAATTTAGATTTTATTAAGCATAATTTGTAAATTAGANTAATTTTTCTTTTTAACAAAATGATTATCTTTCAGAAAATCCAAAAATTATATCATTTTCATCATTGGTTCAAAAATTGGCCTTGGTGCTAAAAATTGATCATAAAATAACATCGTTTTTACTCCCCAAAAATAGGTAAACATTGACTTTGTTTTTCTTTTTTTAATATTAATTTTTATTTTATTTTTTAATCTCCAGAATGTCTTGAGAAATAATATCTTTTTACTTTTTTCCTATCACTTTCCATTATTTTTCTAAAATTTTTTTAAAAATCTCGGGTTGGAGGTAAAGTTCTGTCGTATTTTAAAGACAATATTTGAATTCTTTTATAAAAATATCTGTTTAATATTAATCAATTATATATGCTCCGTTATTTGTTACATCCTGTTGCCATCTTTCAGGTAACCTGTGAATTCCTGTTTTGCCGAAGTTCTCGTCCTTGGAGTTAAAATAGTCAGCAACTGCCTTAAACACTTTCAAAAGACTTAAATTTTTTCCTGTTAGATACTTTTGCAGAGATCTGAACAGGTAATAATCAGATGGTGCAATGTCAGGTGAATACGGTGGGTGACTGAGGATTTCCCATCCTTAGCTTCCTTCAATTTTTGTAGTGTCACCATTGCAGTATGCGGGCGAACGCTAGTCGTGGTGGAACAGTATTCCTTTTTTGGACGCTAATGCTGGCCTTTTTTCTTTGATAGCTGCATTAAATTTATCCAGCTGATTGCAGTTCTTTTCGTTGGTGGATACTTGGTTTTGGAACTGTTGCTGATGATGTTCCTGGTTAGCAGTAAGATTTTTTTTTCTTAATATTCTCGTAAAGAATCCACTTTTCATCTCCAGCAACCAGTCTGTCCAAAAACGGCTCCACATTGTGTCTAATCAGATGTTATGAACACATTCTTACACGATCAGACAAATTCTTTTCTGTTAATTCATGTGGAACCCAAACACTTTGCTTTAACTCAAACCCAAGAGATTTAATGTGATCTCCAACAGTTGTATGAAGAATGCCAAACTCTTCTGCAATTTCTCGACTTGTTAAATGTGGATTATTTTCCAACATGGGTCGCAAAACATCATTATCGATTTTGGATGGTCGTCCAGATCGATCACTTTCTTTGAGGCTCAGATCCCCGGAACGAAATTTGCTAAACCATCTTTGACAAGTACGAATATTTACAGCATCTTTTCCAAATACTGCTTATAAATTTTTACATGCAACCGATGTGTTGCTTCCTTTTTGGAATTCATATAAAATGCAGTGTCGTAAATGCACTTTATCTACTGACATGTTTTTCACTTTAAATATCACAAGTAAATGATGAACGGTAAAAAAGGGCACCTTTTATATTATACAGTGCTTTATACCTGCAATTTTTAAATTTCAAGGTTCAATTATTGCTCTTTTCAGGGTGCGTACAGACTCCTTATATTCCTTAGAAACTCCTTAGATTATTGCGTTGCGTAAACAAACTTACTAAGTCTGCTGATGAATTTGTTGTCCAAGCAGGGAAACTAAATGATATGACTTAGCTGTCAAAATCTAATAGTTTTAGAAAAACTTCCAAGGAAAAAAAAATGAATTGCAAGAGTTAGAAGAAAAAAATAACAGCAAATAATTTTCATTTTACATGTTACAAGCAAACTTAATAATTAACTGTGAAAGGTTTTTTTTTTTTTTTTTTTTTATTTNGGTATTTTTTTTTTTTGTATAAAATGCCTTAGATTTACTTATGTATTCAAATTTAAAAATATAAAATTGGTAGGTTTTTATGTTAATCTGTAACATATGTACTTTAACAAGGTTTATTAAAATAGTATTTGAAACTTGAAAATGTATTTTTAACAAGATTTATTAAAATATTTGAAACTTGAAAATTTATTTTAACAAGGTTTATTAAAATATTTGAAACTCGAAAATGTATTTATTTATGTGTAAAAGTGATAACTTTATTTATTTTTTTTTTTTATGAAGTTTGACGAAGTCAAAATTTATTTCAAAAGGTCTAGAAAAAATAAGCAAAATATACATTTTTGAAAGTCCCTTATAATAACTGCTTTTTAATTGAAAAAAAAAATCTTTCGCCAGAAAATCTTTTCGCCTATATTTTAAAATACAACAGCCGGATTAATGTACCGTTAAAGAAAATCAGATGGTCGGTATGGGAGACAAGAGTATTAGCGCTATGCGAACTCGGCTCACCGGCAGGCACGTGTTTTATAAATGAATACCTTTTGTCGAAGTTCAAGTCAAGAGAGCATTAAATGCCACCGTAAGCTAAAGCTTTACCATTCTATACTTGAAGAGCTCCGAAGGGATCAGGCCCGCCAGCAGAACTCTACAGCTCCAATGCCAACTAGAAATGATGCCAATTTAGTCTCTCCAATATCTGACGATAAAGTCGCTGGATCTGACGATTGTCGCAGCCAGATTTTCAAACAGGTTCTGAATCTTATCGATACTCATCCTGCACGTCATGGTCGTTTTTTGGACCTGGATAACACCATTCAAAACACCGAATCGTCTAAGTTAGACGCGCTCCTTCGAGCAGCTGATCTGGCTATGGCGTTACCTAAGAAAAATGGCCGTACAGGAGCAGAGACCCGGAAGAGCGATGGGCGCAGAAAGTTTGGTGTAAAACCCACACATAAACCAAAGTCCAATAAAAAGATGAAAAGAGAAAGGTGCCTAAATCTACAGAAACTCTACCAGAGGTCTAGAAGGAGGTGCTTTGAAGAAATTATATCTCCAACTTCATGTGACTCAATACGAGATGAGGATGGCTTTTTAAAATTTTGGAGAAATGTGTTGACAAATAAAAAGACTGGAGACTTTAATCCGCAGCCATTAATCCTTGTCGTTAATGAACCTAAAGAGATCTTTACTGAACCAATATTGACTAAGGAAATTGACCTCGACCCAATCTCCTATTCAGACGTGGATGGTGTAACTCTACAGTATCTTAAGAAACTAAAAAGACACGACATCGCCAAAATACTGAATATTTTCTTGTTGTGTGGTGACATACCGCGAAGACTTGCCGAAACTAAAACAATCTTTTCGCCCAAATTATAGAACGCAGTCGAGCCGGGTGGCGACTTTACACATTGTCGACTCCCGGGCACTTCTTTGGCACCGTATTTTGAAATTCGCCAATGTTACATTCGCCAAGTCCGGTTTCAAATTTTCTCGCGAAAATCTTCGAATATTAATTCGCGCATGTTTCACTTGCGACATACGATTTAAAAAACGCATGAGTGAACATGAGGTGTGAATAAATTTAGCTGCTTTAAAAGTTTTTGTGTATTATCATTCTCTTTTTATTCGGACTTCCTGAAACACATATTTATTTCTTACTTTTTTATTTCCTTTTTAGGATAAAGTTTTGTTGTGGGTGTAGGATATATGAGTAGGGTATAGCTTTTTAATTATTTTTATAAATTTATTGCAAATAATTTATGGTGTCTTTGCCAAGTATGTGGACACAATATTCAATAATGCAGCAGGGTTTTGTACCTTATTGTTTAGTTTTTAAAACCTTTAATTTAAGTAACTACACAATTTATGAGTTTTAAGCATTTTCATTTTATATACGTGTAATGATGAGGAGATTGTTGCTGTCAGCTTTATACATGAATTTATTCTTTTTTACTTTTCTGACATTGATATCTATGATTAAATTTGATGTAATGATTCCCATTTGCAGTGCGAATAATATTTGCTTCCAAACAATTGTACTTAGATTTGACACTTTTTTGTAAATGTTATGTCCCAAACGATAAATTCCTTCATACGTATTAGCCAACTCCACAGCTTTGGTAGCCAAGACTTAAAAATTTGTAGCAGTTAAAGTATATTTATGAGGTGAACACAATTTTGATTAAAGAAAACTTTTTATGATTTGTAAAATAAAAATATAATGTAAACAGTAAGCATCAACTTTGACATTCTCATATCATAACTCATATCATATAAGGACAATCTGTTTATTTATTTCTGATTCATTAAAGACAAGATATTGAGTCAAATAAGAGAATCTTAACAATTTTTAAATTTAATAATTTACTTTAAATAAAGAAAGTAGTTTTAAAGCAATATGGTTGAAAGGCTGAGGACTTACACTTTTCTAAAAAAAATTAATCGATGTTATGATAATAAAACAAAACTCTTGCGATCAGTTATCTCAGCAAAAGTAAGATTTTTATTATCAAATAAGAAACAATTATTACCATTCTGCAAGGAACAAATAAAATAAAATAGGTCATACAGTTTTCAGACACACAGACTGCATGACAATCTAAGAATAAATGTTTGAACTTTTAAAGCAAATTACATACAATAAAAGCTATTGTGTGAAAAAAAATTAAAAAACAAGTTGTTACAAATGAGACTATTATATGATTCCAGCAACTAAAAAATTCTTTTGGAATTTTAAAGACTAATGAATACTATTAAATAATAACAGAAAAGTTTTCTGTGTCTCTTTTGTCTCATTTTTGAAGCAGAATATAAATTAAAATACACATCTCACTTTTTCTGATCCTGCTTTTCTCTGAATCGTTCTTATTAAAATAGATGAATCGTGTTAAATTACGTTACCTTAAGTTAGTAAATGTGTTTTCGCACTTAGGAGGAAAAAAAGGCCTAATTTTAGATTGACAATAAATGTAATAATTTTCATAGTATTTTTTCCATATCTTATTTAGAAGCCCAAAAATTGAATAAAAAAATTATAAAATATATAGACCAATTGTTGAGTTATAGAATCTAATAAGCTAAAGTTGTTATAAAATTATGAATAAAAAGTTACAAGATGGATAAGTTATGAAATTAATGAAGCATAGAATGAAAGGATAAATATATATAGCAAAATATATGATAAAATTAATTAGGAAACAATTAAAACGAAGGTGAGTAATTTCAGATATATACAAATAATAGTGATAGAAGCAAGAAAAATGGAAAATATCGGAATTTTCCCTGACAAACTTAAGAAACATTAAAAAAAGTTGAGCAGCCACAACTTTAAGTTTTAATAAATATGATTTGATGTTATAAAAAATAAATTAACTATACGAAAATAGTAGTGAATATGTCATAGATTTGTTTCTTTATGTCATGGCTTTACTAAAAATATTTTTTCTCCTTGTTTTCATAATAGCACGCATTTTACAGAAAATATTTGAACAAATTTAATGAAAATATTTTCAAATTTTTTTAAGGACTCTCTTATGAAGAAAATATTGTCAATCAAAAGTTGTTCAGTATAAAATATATGCAATTTTTTTAAGATATTGTAAGCATTTTGAAGAATACATATTTTTTCCAAAATAGAAACAATTGAAAACACATGGTAAAAATGAAGGAAATAAAAATAATTATTTTTCAAACTGCGTAAATTTTTTTTAATACTTTTATCTTCAAAAATATGTACACTTAATAATGTGATGATTTATATAGGGGATTATTTTTTTAAACTTTGTTTATTAATTAAGATATTCAAAAGAAATTGATTATTCTGAAGATATAAATATTTTATTACTCCAGATTTTTATTTAATTTACAAGAATAGTTTCTATTTGAAAATTTTTTTAACCGAAATATGTATGTAATTAACTGAAATAATTGTGTGTATGTAACTTTTTCTTTATAGAAGGACGAAGTATTTTGATCTCGTTATTTGAATTTTTCTAGTCTTAAACGAGGATAAAATTTTAACTTAATTCAACAAGCAACTTTTAAAAATATCCATGAGCGCGAAGATTCGTTTATGACTTTTGCGAGTGCTGTATTGCGGCGAGCGTAGGGTTGCCTCTGAGTCAGGGTTACTAGATAAGGCGGTGAAACAGTTGACAAATAAAACCGCGGCGAGTGGAGGTGCCCGGGAGTCGACAATGTGTAAAGTCGCAGCCGGGTGAGTTCACACCGATCTGTATCTCATCAATTTGGCTCCATGTCTTCCGCAGAATAATTGCCAAGAGGCTCACCAACAAATATAATCTACAATGCGAGCAGCGGGGGTCCTTGCTTACAGATGGTATTGCACAAAACGTAGCACTTTTGGACTTTGTCCTGAGGACGGCAACAACTAAACTCAAACGAACCCACCTAGCCTCACTGAACCTAAGAGAAGCATTCAACTCTGTCAGTCAAGGTGCCTTAATATCAATCTTAAGGCACCTAAAGTTGGATCAGACATTTGTCGATTACGTCAGCAGGTTGTATGACAATGCCAACACCAGATCACCCATCTTGTGATGTTATGAAAGGTGATCCTCTGTCTAGTGTTTTTTTTTAATTTAGTGATTGATGAATTAATAATTTAAATAAAGAAATTAATCGGAATCCAATAGGATGATGTTGGGATCTCCATATCATCCCATGCTGACGATATTGCACTATTTGCTTCATCAAAGACAGGGCTACAAACTGCCTTTGACACATTACCTCAAGTCATGCAATCTTTTCGTGAATCCCAATAAGTCATTTACCCTTTCCCTTATCCCTGATGGGAAAAACAAGAAAATTAAATTACGTGAAGAAAAGTTTATAGCCGGAGGTGA